AAATTTATAGAGGTACCTTGGTTTCCTACACATTAACTGTGGGGGGACACATTTTATAGGTTCTCAGAGTCCAAAGCTTACTTCATAGAGGAATTGGTGTTCATCATGCTGGGTTGCTTCCAATTGTAAAGGAAGTTGTTGAAATGCTTTTTTGCCGTGGTGTTATTAAGGTAGGCTTAAAGACTCAGGGACTTGTGTTATTATTTGAGCCTACCCCATTAATACAACGGTGGAGTTAATAGTTATCTATGCTTATTGTTGCTGCTTTTAGGACATCTAATTGCCATGTTTTTTTTTATCTTCTGAAACGCTTCAGGTAATCTTTTTTTATTAATCTTCCTGCAGGTGCTATTTTCAACGGAGACATTTGCCATGGGGGTTAATGCTCCAGCTAGAACGGTGAGGCTATTTCGATTTTTATTACTAATGTTAATCTGATGCTACAATGTTAAGTGGGTTATTCTTTACACATAGGTATCTTCGTATCATGTGGGGGAACAAGTGTGGGTATTCTGATAAGCATATTATTCATATAAATAACTTCTCCACGATATTTCGCTACAGGTCGTTTTTGATGCTTTGAGGAAGTTTGATGGCAAGGAATTTAGACAATTGCTTCCTGGAGAGTACACTCAAATGGCAGGACGTGCTGGCAGAAGAGGACTTGACAAAACGGGCACAGTTGTTGTCATGTGTCGCGATGAAGTTCCAGATGAGAGTGATCTGAGGCGTGTAATTGTTGGAAGCGCAACAAGACTAGAATCTCAGTTTCGACTAACCTACATAATGATCCTCCATCTTTTACGTGTTGAAGAATTGAAGGTATCTCAATGTCTGGACCATTGATCTGCCATGGGTATTGCTACCAAGCCTTTTTCTTGACTTTTTCTGACTCGCCAGTTTTCAAATGGTTGTTATTGTTAGGTGGAGGACATGCTTAAAAGAAGTTTTGCTGAATTCCATGCCCAGAAGAAACTGCCCGAGAAACAACAGCTTCTCATGAGAAAACGTTCTCTACCAATCAAAAATATCGAGTAAGGCCAAACCCTCATCTTACTGATACTTGAAAGACTGAAAACCTACTGAATTTTTATACTCTGATGGATCGCCAAGCTTTTTGTAGTCTCCGTAGAATTGTAAAGAACTCATTTATTCTATTATCTTGTTTGTGCGACCTCTGTATTCAACTTCTATGTAGAATTGATCTATTGATTTATTCATCCAGATGTATTAAAGGTGAACCGGCAATTGAAGATTACTATGACATGTATATGGAAGCAAATGAATATAACAACAAGATGTCGGAAGCAGTAATGCAGTCTCCTTATGCCCAGAATTTTCTTGTACCAGGAAGAGTAGTGGTCATGAAATCTGGAACGGTGAGACCCTGTCTCCACCACTCTTTTATCTGGTTCATAAATTGGTTTCTCATGTGTGTAATTTTACAGGGCATAGACAATTTACTTGGAGTCGTTCTGAAGGGACCTTCCAACACTAACAGACAATATGTTGTTTTGGTGATAAAATCTGAAATACCGCCACCAGAGAAAAATATGGTCAGCATTGGCAAGAAAAGCTCAGAGCCTTCTCAAGGTTATTTTATTGCGCCCAAATCAAAACGTGGTTTTGAAGAAGAATTTTATACAAAGCCGAGCTCTCGTAAAGGTTCCGTTGTGATAAAGATAGAGCTCCCGTACCATGGAGTCACTGCTGGTGTAGGTTACGAGGTTAAAGGGTTTGATAACAAAGAATTTTTGTGCATATGCGATAGCAAGATAAAGATTGATCAGGTGCGCCTACTCGAGGATGGGAACAAGTCAGCTTTTTCTCAGACGGTTCAACAGCTTTTGGATCTGAAATCAGACGGAAACAAGTATCCTCCTCCTCTAGACCCAATAAAAGGTTCTTAAACTAAATTATAGCCATGTATCAGTTTTTCCTGCTTTAAATTCATTTCCCTCTTAAATTCATTTCATGATTCTATTTCAGATTTGAAGCTGAAAGATGCTGAGATTGTGGAGACGTACTATAAATGGACCAGCCTATTGCAAAAGATGTCCATGAATAAGTGCCACGGTTGTGTCAAATTGGAAGAGCACATGAAGTTAGCTAGGGAGATTAAGAAGCATAAGACGGATCTCAAAGATCTTGAATTTCAAATGTCCGATGAAGCCCTATTACAGATGCCTGCGTTTCAGGGCCGGGTACGTTCAAATGAGAAAGTCCACTTGCATCTTTTTTTACTCTTATATATGATGATTTAGAGTAACATGTAGAGCTCTAATCTCTTTTTGCAGATCGATGTTCTGAAGAACATTGGGTGTATAGATGATGACCTCGTCGTCCAAATCAAAGGCCGTGTCGCTTGCGAGATGAATTCTGGGGAAGAGTTGATTTGCACAGTGTGTCTGTTCGAGAATCAATTCGAAGAATTAGAACCAGAAGAAGCAGTGGCTATAATGTCTGCCTTTGTCTTCCAACAGAAAAACACTTCAGCGTCTTCCCTTACTCCTAAGCTGGCTAAAGCTAAACAAAGGTTTGTTTCGATCACTCTCTTTCCCTTCTCATATTTACTAACAGTAATTGATCTGACCTGATCGATCTAATCATTGATCCTCTTTTGCATAGACTCTATGATACAGCAATCAGACTTGGTGAACTTCAATCTCAGTACAATTTACAAATAGACCCTGAAGAATATGCCCAGGAGAATCTCAAATTCGGTCTGGTCGAAGTCGTCTATGAGTGGGCAAAGGTTTGTTGTAACCAGAGAGCTATCTTTCTTCAACATTGCGCGTTTCACACATTTTTTTGATCATATATTCTTGATTTTTTTCAGGGGACTCCATTTGCAGAGATATGTGAACTGACGGATGTCCCGGAAGGTCTGATAGTTCGAACCATTGTGAGATTGGATGAGACATGCCGTGAGTTCAAGAACGCTGCCGCCATTATGGGGAACTCAGCGTTACACAAGAAAATGGATGCGGCTTCAAATGCTATAAAACGTGACATCGTCTTTGCAGCTAGTCTGTATGTGACCGGAGTATAAGATTTGATTATAAATCTGACCAGATACGCTTCTCACTTAACTTGAAATTCAAATCACTAAACATGTCTGCAATGATGTTGATCGTTAAATGTCTTAAACTCCTGCAGAATCTGTAAGGCAGTTCCTTGACCCATAGAATATAGTAGTTAAGTAGTTAAGTTTTTCGTTAAAGCTTTCTGTTACGACTATTGCATTCTTGGTATGGTAGAAGGAACATTTCCAAAATCGGATATTAAAAACCGGCCAGATACAAGTCGAACTGAGATTACAGAAATGGATTTCAGTTTAGACATTGACATATCCTCGTCCTCGCTTTCCAATCAAGCGTTAAAAGGTTCACTTTGAAACACGAACTCTGGTGAAGATAGCCATCAACTTAGGCACTAGCTTGTCGTGCTTCATCACATACCTTTTCAAGAACTCCTGATCAGTACATACCAAGACAGATGAAATCGGAGGGTTTTCACTACCAATCAATCCTTTCGACATGAGAGCTTTGATTACGTTAGTCCTTGGCACTATCCTCTTCTCCAAGCTGTATCCAAGTACCGCAGGGATCAAAACTACATCCTCTAGTGGCCAATTCATTTTCTTCACCAAAACCTCAAACTTCTTCCTCACCGTCTCTGCAGTATATGCAGTGCACTGAGGATATCGCTTAACCATTATCTTGAACTCATCTCTACTGAATCCTAAGTTTAGAAACGTTTCAATAGAGTCCAATATCTTCTGCTCAGAAGCTCGTATGCATTGTGGACGAGTCTTCAACACCGAAATGACCTCTTCCTCCACCAAACCACACTTCTTCAGTGTTTCAAACATCAGAATTATCTTCTTCTCCGAGAATTTCAAAAAGAAAGGCCACTTCTTGAAACTTGCCCATATATCAACTTCACTAAAGCCTAACCTTTTATAAACATTCACTTTCTCTTCTATCGTTTTCTCGCTCATTTTGTAAAGTACATGCAAAGCTTCCACAAACGTTGATTTCGCCGGATCAAAACCCATATCAACAACTTTCTTGAGAGTTTCTTCAAATTTCTCTTTACCACATACAGGTTGATAATTAGAGATGACCAATGGAAACAACAACCTCTGAGGCACTCCCAATTCTCTTAAAACCGATATATTTCGGATTTTGTTCCCTTTCTTACCTTCTGGCCAAGAATGACATAAACTTTTACCATCTTCCATAATGTCCTTGACGAAATCATAGTACAAGCTAATAGATTTCTCTCCTTTCTTTCCCAAGATTGTTGGAACATTCGAAACAATCTCTGTGAACTCAGAGCTTGAAGCTCCTCTAGACTGTAAAAACTGGAGCTTTGGACGAAGAGACTTCTCAGCATCAATTACAAGCAATCTTGGGTAAGCCCTAATGATCCTAGAGATCTGAGAATCTTTAAACCCATTACTTCTAAGAAGATTCAGAACAGAATCCGGATTTACCTTGTCTTCGAAACTGACTTTCTTTGAGATTGATTCTGCAAGTTTTTTAGTTAAACCCAATGATTCAACTAGATAAGTGACAGTGAAAGTTGTTCCCTTTGGATTCACATCTTTAGCTATTGCAGAAGAGAACGATTTGGTGGTAAAAGCAAATGCATTTTGCACAATGCTCACTGAAACTCTTAAATTCCGCCATTTCTGCAATTCAACAGAGCTTCTTATTAAAGAAAACATGAGAAGAAGCAGAGAGCTCAAAGAACCAGTGATGATGAGTGTTCGATTATTCAAGAAAAATGAAATTAGGGTTTATGAGGAAGAAGAATTAACAATTGGGCCTAATGGGCCAAGAAATAGTTAAAAGCCCATTGAGTTTATTAGGGTGGAGGGAAATTTTGGCGCCACTCACCTCCCATTTATGGCGGAACTACGACGCTTCTTCATCATCACAACAACAAGTCGACCACAATTGAAATTAGGGTTTCTCTGCAACTCCTTAAACACACGCTTAAAGCCTTTTCGTTTTCCAATTTCAACAATGGCCTGCGTCGAGACGAAGAACAACAACAACAGTTCCGATTCCGTCAACGAACCATCACCTAAACTCCAAAAGCTCGATCAAAACGGAATCCATGGCGATTCATCATCATCACCATTCTTCAAAGTGAAGAAACTCTCCGAAAAAGCTGTTTTACCAACAAGAGGCTCATCACTCTCCGCTGGATACGATCTCTCAAGTGCGGTGGATTCAAAAGTTCCAGCGAGAGGTAAAGCTCTTATCCCAACGGATCTAAGTATCGCTGTTCCCGAAGGAACTTACGCGAGAATCGCACCGAGATCGGGTTTGGCTTGGAAACATTCGATTGACGTTGGTGCTGGTGTGATTGATGCTGATTATAGAGGACCTGTTGGTGTGATTTTGTTTAATCATTCTGATGTTGATTTTGAGGTTAATTTTGGAGATCGAATCGCGCAATTGATTATCGAGAAGATTGTGACTCCTGATGTTGTTGAGGTTGATGATTTGGATGATACTGTTCGTGGTGATGGTGGTTTTGGTTCTACTGGTGTCTGAGTGATGATCATCTTCTTCGATTAAGAATGTTTAATTTAGGGTTATTTCGTCGAACAGTTTGTGGTCATTATTGTACTATCTCTTTGCTTCATCTTTAGACTATCTTTCAATCTTCAAAAAAATTTGCTTCATCCAAAAAAGTCTCAATCTAATTTAATTTCACCAAACAAAATTGTTAATCCATAAAACAAACAAACTCTCACTGATTTTTTTTTTTTTTCTTACAAAATGAATCAATTTCAAGAAAAGAAAAATAGAAGAGATGACTTCACAAAAACCAAGCCAAAACAAAGAGGAGCTCTCTATAATGGAGAGAGCAATAAATCAAAAGCAAATAGAGACAGTTGATTATAACAAAAACATAACCACTGACTCTTTTTTTTTTTTCTATTCACAAAAATGAGACTCTAGACGTCTCAAGCGAATTTAGGCTTAGGTAAGGCTGAGCCTAAGGTGTTGCTGCTGCTGCCGCCACCGCTGTGGTGGTGGTGGAATGAGCCGATTTTCTGAATCCATAATTTATGACCTTTCTTTAGTTCTGGACAGATCTGGCTAGGTAAAAGATTCAGTCTTCCTTCGCTTGTCAAAGACTTCTTAAAATGTTCCAACACTTTGACAATCTGCCAGAATTCTGGTCTCTTGTCTGTTTGCGATGCCCAACATAGCTCCATCAGCTCTTTCATGGCCGCTGGACAATCCTTCGGTATAACCGGCCTAATGTTCTGGCCAATATCAAAACAAGACAATTCGAAATGGTTAAAAACAACTGAACAATAATGATCTAACTCAAGCCATCAGATTTTCTTTTGTTCTATAATCAAATCCTAAGTTGGGCATGATTCGTGTAAGCTTGGAGTCAGATCTATGCAAGATCACAATCATGAAATAAGGAGGAGATGCAGAATGAATTTACCTTGTTTATGACTGCGTAGGCAACTTGGGCAGCCAATTTCATCTCCTCATATGGAACTGCTCCAGCTACCATTTCCCATAAAAGAAGTCCAAAACTATAAACATCGCACTTCCGTCCATGTGGTATCCGTTTTAAAACTTCAGGTGCCATCCACCTATAGGTTCCTGTGTTATCCCCCAAAACATCACAGTACTCCTCCTCGCAAGCTATGCCAAAGTCAGCAATCTTCAAGTGAAAGTCTTTGTCGATCAACACATTTTCTGGCTTAAGATCCCGATGAACTATCTCTCTTGAGTGAATATATTCCATTCCTCTGGCAATATCCAGCCCAAACTCGATTAGCTGTTGCAAAGGAAGGGATTTCTGCTCGAGCTTGTGGAGATATGATCTTAAAGACCCTCGAGGTACGTACTCCGTGATGATACAGTTTCCAGTATTCACTCCAACAAACTGTTTCAGTACATCATCAATCAGAGGAAAAAAGTCAAACAAACCATACTCATAATTTTCAAAGAGAGTTGTAAGATGTATTGTTCAGTTTCCTTTAATGAAAATAACCACACCAAAGGCACATTTCATATTTCATACAACCTAACCGACATAAGATAACATAATATAAACTCACCTTAACGACATTTGGATGGCTTAATCGAGATAAAATAGTGGCTTCCTTGGTAAACTCTTTTTCTAAACAAGCTTCCAAGAATCTGTCGTCACTATCCTCAGGCGCTGTAATAATCTTCAGAGCAACAGCTTTGCCTTCGTATTCTCCATGATAAATCTGGCTATATTTCCCGTGCGCAAACCTATCCCCATAAGACAACTTAGACACATCAATGAGGTATTCTTCAAGCACTCCTGCAGAACATACTTTAGAACCTCTATAGTCAACAGACTTTGAAGACCTCTTATCTATCTTGCTCTTTGCCCTCTCTTGAGTTTTCAGCGTACTATGATCCCTAATAGGACCCGAGTGTGATAGGGACCGTAGACTAAACGATTTTTTCTCAGGAGAACCTTTGCGGGACAACTTTGCCTTCATTCCCTTGTCTGGTTCCATTCTTCTAGGATGTGGAGTAGAAAACCTCTTAATATCAGATTTTGCTTCCTTAAAAGCATCAGAAAGAGCCATATGAGGCGACGGAGAGACAGACCTCTCCTTATTACTGACTGGATTTCTCTGTATCTCAGTACCAACAACACTACAACAACTCAAACCCACCGGCTGCTGCGTACTCTGAGAAATTCCTACAAGTGATTTCAGATCAGATGGTGAACTCAAAGTCATTCTTTTCAATCCAGAAGTCCTATCTGAGTTTGATTCTAAGCTCGGTGTAATCATACGATAACAAACAGTATGAGAGAAATTTGCCCTCCTAATCCAAGAAGTAACCTCTCCATCCATGTTTAAAGCCCGCAAAACCAAAAGTTACTAGAAAGCTCAAAACACTAAAACTTGGTAAAGAAGAAACTCTAATCAAGCGAAACCATGAAGACGAATAAGACGAGTATCAATCTCCAACAACAATCTCGTCTTCACAGATCCATTGAAGAAACACCATCTATCTTCCTCAACCATTAAATCAGTAATCAAAATTTTAAATCTCCCTAAGAACACAGATATTTCCCTTGCCTAGAGTGTTGAACACATCACCCAAAAATCGCCGGAAAATTTGTGAATTACACCACCAACAACTATATATGCGTTCTTCCTAATAAAAATCAACCAAATCAAAGAACAACATGTATATTAAGAAACGAATTCGTTTGATTGATGAATCAGAGATAAAGATATAGAAATCGAGAACGTACCTGAAACAAAACTATGGAGCGTGAAAGCTCGGAGAAACAGGAATAAGAATAATCCGGCGAATAGGTTTTGTGTAGAGAGAAATCAAACGGAGAAATTTGAAAGCTTCAATGGTAAGCAACAAGACGAGAGATTTCGAATTCGTGACTTTTGATCTTGACGACGGCTTTAGAGAGAATTTTGTATTAAAAAAGTTTCCAGAAATAAAAGGGAAGACAAATTCTCCAGAATTTTGGTCAAAGAAGAAAAACACGGCCGAGCGTAAAAAGATTTCAAAACGGTGGCGTTTTAAACTTTAATGTCGAACACAAACAAAAGCGTATGGGTTTCGACTCCCCGCAGTCACATTTGCTTCTTTTTTTCCTTACAAAAGACTTTTTTTTTTTTTTTTTCATCTGAGAATATATCGAAAATTTGAGAAGATCGAGAATGGTTACAACGAATCAGTCAACCAAAGAACTGAGACAACCTACCTACACTAGCACCATCTCCAGTCTCCACACTGGAGAGGCTTATACAAAAAAAATGAGCTCCAAAAGGAAGAGCCAAAGCATCAAGTACAAACAAGTACCAACCAACTCATTCAAACAAAAGAATGATCTCAAGCATCAAACACCAACACAAACTACAAAAGACCTAAAATTTATTTTTTGGCTACACGGAATAGATATTCTGGATTGTAGTATTATCTGTGACTCGTTTCGATATGTACTTTGCAAGTAATCGGATATTCGTTGAAATTATTTAGTAGAGCAAAACCGTATCTTAAACTTTTAGTATTTATGATTAATTCCATTTTTAATGAATAGTTATTTTTTAGTATTTGATTTGTCTCATTGAGTTACAAATATCCAAAATTTTGCCTAATCCTAGGATATATGGTCCAATAACTTACATGTGATTTTGATGTTTTTAGGTATTGGAGAAAATTTATAGAGATCAACAAGAAGAGAATAGCACAAACTAATTAAAATTTTCAAACTATTGCTTTTTTTTGTGTGTTGAAACTTGAAAGTGACAACTGACTGTTTCATTCTTTTGTTAGGAATGCAAAAAATAAGAAATAACCAAAAAAAAAAAAAGAAAAACATGACGAGTGTTGGAGCATTACACTTTTCTCTCACAGTTTGGAAAACAAACGCAACCTTTTTTTTTCTTCTGCATGAGGCCAGACCACGTGCCTCTTCCCATCTCTCACGTGTTTCCCTTCTAAAAAGAAAACTAATTTCTACTGACAAAATCCAAGTCGATTTGAGACTCCCAATAAACGTCGTCGTTTTATCAGTTCCAACGACTCGCTTTGCCTCCTCTTCTTCTCCTATCTCTCTCTCGGTCGACGAAATAGGATTCTTCGTTTCTACCTCGAATACGACGACCACGAGATTGACCAGGTGAGAAACCAACTCTATCGTGTCACTGCTCCGAATTCGTTTTTACAAAACAATGGCACATGAACCCAGTAGCCCAAGTTCGAATCTTGTTCATAATCCGGCCAATCTCTCTGATTCTGGGTTAGATTATGGCTCTGATTTGAGCAATAAGCGTGTCTCTGATGGAATCATTACTGGGTTTGGGAGTGAGCAGGTAAGTATTGATGCTATGAATACGAACAATCCAAATTTAGGAAGTAGTGATATGGATGGTGAAGAATTGGAAAAGGTGAAGTTTTTGTGTAGCTACAATGGAAAGATAATGCCTAGACCAAGTGATGGAACGTTACGATACGTTGGTGGTCAAACAAGGATCATTAGTGTTAAAAGGAATGTGAGATTTGATGAGTTTGAGCAAAAGATGATTCAGGTTTATGGTCAGCCTGTTGTTGTTATTAAGTATCAGCTTCCTGATGAGGATCTTGATGCTTTGGTTTCTGTTTCATCTAGTGAAGATATTGATAATATGATGGATGAGTTTGAAAAGTTGGTTGAGAGATCTTCTGATGGGTCAGGGAAGTTGAGAGTTTTCTTGTTTGATGTTTCTTCGTCCGAGGTTGATGATTCTTTCGGAGATGGAGTTGATATTGGGCAGAGGTATGTAGAGGCGGTGAATGGTGTTGTTGTGAGTAAGGAAAGTGTAGCTAGTGGTAGTAGTTCTAATCCGAATTCTGATTTTAGTGGCGTGGATGTTGTTGATAGCTTGGGTGTAGGTCAGAGTGATTTTGGTGTAACTACATGGACCTCGAGTAATTTTTCACCTCACACTTATCATAGTAATGTACCAAGACTTGTTCCTCCTGAGCCACGCTCTTCTGCTTATGTTTTGCCAATGAGTCAAGCCGATCCGTTTCATTCTTCTCAGCTTGAGACTGTTTCAGGGAAACAAATACTTGGTAAGATCCAGCAGCAGCAACAGGTGCATGACTTGCAGCAATCAATGACTACGCCATCTGAGCATCATTCACCGACCTATGTTGAATCTCGCCAAGAAGCTTTAAGACAACCAGATGTTGTTCATTCACCTATCCAGCTTTTGCCAAGCAGTACTTCTTTGTTCTCCCAACAACCTTTTCAAGGTAGTACTGTAAGTGTCTCATCCCACCAGTTCCTTCCTGCTTCTCACATGTCAATGGCTCCTTTGAACGCTCAGATTGGTGCTACACCAGTTTTGATTAAACCTGTACTACAAACCCAAGAAAATCTGTTGGGGAACTATCCTGCTGAAAGAAATGTCGGGATTCAAAAGGTAGCCCCACTTCCTACAGAGCCGAGATACACTGCATATCAAGGTATGATTGCTCCTGGTCTACCAATTGGTGGTGGCGGCGGGTCTCAGGTTCCACCATCTAACTACGTTGTTCTCCCCGATGGTGGTTTGCATCAACAAGTAATTATGCCTGAAAGTTTTCAAAGGGTAGATGATTGTCATATGTGTCAGACATCTTTTCCTCATATGCATTCTGATCCCATTATACGGGAGAGGAATGATGGCTCTACAATGTCGGTACCATATGTGAGATCAGCTTTCCATGCTTCTCATCCAGATGATATCATGAGAGTCCAACAGACGGATAAGTTTATGGGTCAACAAAGCTTCCTCAATCATTCAAATCATCAAGAAAGAGATACTTTACATAACGCCAATGTTGTGACTGCTCAGGTCGAGACTACTGAACCTTTCCTCAATGAGATCGTGAGAGATGTTCCGATAAAAGTTCAAGTATCTAGACAGCAGCAACATCCCGTAGACCCTTCAGTAGCATATGCTCAATACCGAGAACTAAGTGGATTGGTGGATGATGTTAACATACATGCTCCCGGAATATATAGCAATTGTCAGAATTTCATCTCACCAGTTGACAAAATTGGAACAGAAGATATTATGGGTACAAGTTCTCAACAAATGGCAAGGAAGAATATGTTGTCACATGGCACGTCTGGTCAATCTCCACTAAGTCAAAACATAGATCACACTGACTCAACGGAGACACTAACAAGAGTAATTCTTCCAGGCCATGAATCTCAGCCTAAGGCATCATTGCCGCCAACACAGTCGCCCTTATTAGGAAATCCTGGTTTGTATCTACAATCATTGGTTGGAGGTCAGCAGTTTGATTCAGTGGAAGCGCAGTCCAGCAACCCCGCTTATGACGTTGTTGAATCTACCTTTGATGCTGCAAACTTACCCTCATCCTTATCATCAAATCCTGATGCTGCTAATTTACCATCATCCTTGTCATCTAGTGTTGGTGGTGCAGACCATAAAGATTCATCAAAATCAATTTTTAGCAACCAGGACCCATGGAATTTGCAAACTAACTCAAAGGAGGATGTCAAACCTGATCTACTTAGTTCTTCGAAAGGTGAGAATGACTTTCATGTTATACATGACTTTCTTAGATCGTTATCCTTGAGGATTATCTGTTGATTGGTCTTTTGTTCTCTCTGAAAGGCTCAGAGGAGGAACACATCAAACAAGAACTTCGGAATGTTGCAGAAGGAGTCGCTGCTTCTGTTTTACAGTCAAGCACATCTTCATATCTTGAACCTACAATCAGCGTGGATGACTATCCTTCTAATTCGAAAGGAGAAGTTTCACGTAATGATGAAATGAAACAGCAGTCTACTACACAGTTCAAGGTCCTTTGCATGATCTTCACTATTTTTGGCATTCCTTTTTATTTTTTTCATATTTCTATAGAAGTTATGAAATTTTTATTATTGTTTCTCAGAATATCAGGAACCAACTTCTAGAAAGACTGAATTTCGGATATTCTGGTTCTGATTCTCTGGATCAGTTGCAGGTTTGACACCTTGTATTTAATTCACTTTTGATCATTAACTAATGAGTATAATCATATATTATATTTTGACAGATTATAAAGGACAGCGACCTTGAAGAATTGCGAGAACTAGGATCTGGCACATTTGGCACAGTTTATCATGGGAAATGGCGAGGCACTGATGTTGCAATCAAAAGGATCAATGATCGATGTTTTGCTGGCAAACCATCTGAGCAAGAACGAATGGTTTGTCTCAGCACAGCTGATGATGCATAACCTAAAAAATTATTTAGACATGTTGAATAGTTCATAATGACGTATATCTTATCCGCAAATTATCAGATTGATGACTTTTGGAATGAGGCACAAAACCTAGCTGGCTTGCATCATCCTAACGTCGTTGCTTTTTATGGGGTTGTGCTGGATTCACCTGGAGGTTCTGTGGCAACGGTTACAGAGTATATGGTCAATGGTTCTTTACGAAATGCGTTGCAGAAGAATGTGAGGTATCATATTTTTTATACATTCCTCAGAGCTATGTTGACACTTTATATTCATGCTTAGAAGAATGCCATTAGTTGTTATGGTTTTCTTTTCAGGAAATTTGATAGGCGCAAGCGTCTGTTGATCGCGATGGACATAGCTTTTGGTATGGAGTATTTGCATGGAAAGAAGATAGTACACTTTGATCTTAAAAGTGACAACCTACTCGTTAATCTCAGGGATCCTCATCACCCAATTTGCAAGGTCAATTTACTCGAGTTTTATTTTCTCTCTGTTTTTCTTTAGTATTAGTTTTGTTTGCTTTTTATCTGTTTGCATCCAACTCTAACATGGGATTCATGATCATAAGGGACAACGGTAGGAATCAAGTCATGGTATTGAGGATTGTAAGCATTTTGCGATAAATTTCT